GTGTGGTGCCCAGAACTGGTTGTAGAACTCTGGCTGTGGTCTCACCAGTGCCAAGTACAGCAGAAGAATCACCTCCTTGGTTTTGCTGGAGATGCATCGATTGATGCATGCCAGAGTATTATTTGCCCTACTGGCTACAGCATTGGAGCTTGCTCATATTCATACTGTAGTCTATTATTATCTCCAGGTCCCTTTCATTCATGGTGCAAGTCAGTTTGGTACTGCCAAGCCTGTAGGTGTCTGGAGGGGAATTGGGTGGCAGGCAGCATCCACGAGGGGGACAGGCAGCATCTGTGAAGGAAATTGGGGAGTTGGGGGGCAGATGGGGTCTGAGGGTAGTTCCTGGGGCCTGGGAGGGTTTGGTGGGATCAGGGGGCTCACGGGGTCCATGGGAGGACTTGAGAGGGGACCAGGGGCTATTTTTAGCCCCTCCAACCCCACCCTCCCATCCGCTTCCCACCATCAATACTTCCTTGTCTTCTGATAGTAGCGAATAATGATAAAAGCGGCACTGAGAACAGCTTGTGGGATGGTGGGAGGTTCGGCTGGGGGGCAGTGAGGGGCCAGGGGCCTGAAAATAGCTCAGTGTCAGGGGCCAGACAGGAAAAGTGCAGCTCTAGGGCTGAGGCAAGCAGCTGGGCTTTCCCAGCCTTGGGGGTGTGAAGGTAACAGTACAGAAGTTCTACGCATTGGTCTAACCTAGCTTAATTAAGTTTGAGTGTACATCAATAGTTCCACCTGCATGCTCCTATAGTTAGGGACCTACCAAATTCATGGCAGAAGTGGGGAGTGCTGTGGCTCCTTTAATCTTGCAGGTTTTCCCGCACCCCCAATTGGTGGAGGGGCCCTGTTTGAAGCTCACTCCTGATCAGCGGGGAGGCAAAAACTGCATTTTTAAATATCGCCCCATTTTTGCCCCCTGCCACTGATGGGCTGAGGGGCCCCAGATGGTCCTGCTCTTTGCTGCTGACTGGCATGGAGGCAAAAATGGTGCCATGTTTAAAACTTCAGTTTTAGCTTCCCTGATAATCTGAAGGGAGTGGCAGGTTCCAGCTGCAGCCACTTCTCTCTGCTGCCCAGATGCAGCCCAGCATAGGCAAAATGCTTGGCTGTGGCACTGCACAGGGTGAATGAGGCCCCAACCATTGAAGCGCTTGCTCTGTGGACCACAGGTTGTCAACCCCAGATTTAAA